TGCTGTTTGGGACCCCAGGTAGCCAGGGCCATCAGCTACTGGGGTTGGCGGTTTCCCTGCGGCTGGCGTTTCTCAGGACAGGACCATGCATAGTGTCCACTTCCGCCACAATAGAGACATAGATTCCCCTCCCGACGCCGCGACTTCTCTGCGGGGGAGAGGCATGGCCGCACTGCCCCAAGCTGCATAGGTTCCTCCAATGACTCAGCTGGGCCTGTGGGGCTGCTGGTAGACACTGGGGCCGAGAACTGGAGGTGCCGGCGGCCCCGAGCCTGACGCCGGTCCTCTAGCCGATCGTCTATCTGTAGACTCCGTTGAATAAGGGTGTCTAGCGTGGTGGGGCGTTCCATTGTGGCCAGCTGGTCCAGTATCTCATCTGAAAGCCCCTCGAGATACTGGTCCCGAAGAGCAGAGTCGTTCCAGGTCAAGTCCTGTGCCAGCAGCCGGAATTCTGTGGTGTATGCGGCCACCGTGGACTTGCCCTGTCTCAACCGCCGAATCGCCCGGTTGGCTTGACTCCCTTTCTGGGGGTTGCCGAACGCGGCCTCCAACAGATTGCAAAACCCCCCGTAGTCTGCCAGCAAGGGGGAGTCTTGCCTGAGCAGCGGCAACGCCCACTTGGCCGCCTGGTCCTTTAACAAACTAATCAAAAAATGCACCTTGGTGCGGTCGTCAGGGAAGTTCTGGGCGCCCCCCTGAATATACAGCTTGGCCTGGGCAAGGAACATGGGAAAGCTGGCCGGGGCCCCATCAAATTTCTCAGGCAAGGCCACTGGGTACTTGCCAGAAGCCGGGGCGTCGGCCCCAGGAGCCGGTAGGGCGTCCAAACGCTGCTGTAGTGCCGTAACCGCGTTACTGAGCTGCTGCACAGTGTGCGTCAAGGCCTGGTTCTCCTGGGCTATTGCCAACAGTGTAGCCGCTTGGTCGGCCATGGCCTCTGACTCTTCCCGAACGCACCCCAAGAAAGAGGGAGTGCGGGTGTGGCAGGAGCAAACTGTGCTGGTCCCAGGGGGGATAAGGTGCTATTACCGTAGCCCAAGATCAGTCCAGAGTCTCTAGCAGGGTAGACGGTCACTGGATGAGACGCGAGGTCCGAGACAGGGAGCCGGGCGGGGTAACAGGAACGCTGGTAGGGCAGAAGCAGGAAGCCAGGCGAGGAACAGGAACACTTGGCCTTGCCCCAGTTCAGCCGGCCCTGGAGGCGGGGACTCCTGTGCCAGCTGGGATTCCTCCGGATCGCTCTCAGACTCGGAATCCCAGGCCATCACACAACCCCTGATTGCTCTCATCAAGAACAGTTATCATTCATCATCAGATATGTGAGGAGGGAAGCTAAACGTTTTGTAATTGAAGAGTGCTTTCTTGGTTTTCATGAATTTTCCATAAAGACTGGAGAAGAAATTGCCACTGAAATATTAGACGTCTTAGAGAGGCTCAAATTGAACTTTCAAGACTGTGTGGGTCAAGCATATGACAATGGATCTAACATGGCTGGAAAGTATGCAGGTGTACATGCTATCCTAAATGGAAAGAATGAGAACTGTATTTTCTCTAGGTGTGCCAATCATACTCTGAATCTCATTGGTACCGATTGTGCTGAAGCCTGTAACAAAGCTATTACCTTCTTTGGAACCATTCAGAAAATATTCAATGTCTTCAGTACAAGCCCTTCACGTTGGGAGGTACTGAAGAAAAATGTTCCTCACTTCATTCAGTCTCGAAAACAAGATGGTCAGCAAGAATTGATAGTGTAAAACAAATTGCAAACCATTTTGATGGTATTCGAACTGCAGTATCAGAGATCAGTGAATTAAAAAATGCAATTGCAGAATGTAAAGCTGATCTTTGGGGAATAAAAAAAAATACTTGAACACTTTTGAATATGTTGTAATGTCAAGTATTTGGAGCAAACTTCTCACAATGATACATGAGATAAACTTGGTAATAGAATCACGCAATGCCACACTGGATGTTGAAAGGGACAACATAGATCAACTGCGTACAGACATTTTGAATTTTAGAGAGAAATGGAATAACATACTTCAAGAATGTCAACATGTATCAGTCAAAATAGGTGTTTCAGAGACTTTTATTACTTGCAGGGGATGTCTAACTCAAGAGGATGCTGAAAAAGACTTTAGAGTGAATGTATTCTTCAAAATAATTGACTTTGTTATTGTTGGACTGACAGGGCAATTTTCTGCTGTTAGCGAAATATGTGAACTTTTCGATTTTTTGTGGAAGTTACAATACTTCAATAATGACGAACTGATACAAAAATGCACTTGGTTTCACTTGTGATACTCAAACCATATTTCCCGTGATGAAATACAGAGTGAAGTGCTCCTCCTTAAGCAAACTTTCGATATGAATTTCAAACTTAATTCTCCGTCACCGAAAGAAATTGCCGATCAAATACTAAATTTGAATTTGGAAAACATTTTTCCAAATCTTCTAATTGCATTACACATTTTCTTATCATTACCAGCTACAGTGGCCTTTAGAAAAGTTTCAATATATGAAAACGAATTAAGTCTTTCTTTCGATCAACAATGGCTCAAGAACACCTAAATGGTTTAGCAATGATAAACATAAACCACGATAAGGCGAAGTTGCTTGATTTTTTCTGCATAATTCAAGAATTTGCAAAAAAGAAAGCTAGGAAAGCATTTTTAAATGTAAATACTTAAAATAATCCTTTTCCCTATGTATTTTTTAAAAGCACTATTTTATATCTGTATTTTCCATTTTGTCTTTATATGTAGATATGGTTCAAGCCTTGAAATAAAATTATTTGTCAGCATAACTTTTGTGAAAATTATTTATATACTTACTTATTTATAAGACTTCAGTTATCCCCAGGGTAAAAAAAAAAGAAAAAAAAAGGGAGAGCACATTATCTACCTGGTCCGGGCCTCTGCCTGGCTTTGCAAGGCCCTGAGGTTAGGCAAGGAGTGAGTAACTGGCTCATCACCCAGTGAGTTTCATGGCTCAGCAGGGATTTGAACCCTGGTCTCCTGGGTCTTAAAAGGTCCAGCACAGGACACTGGCTCTCCCACTTCCGTAGCATACAGGACATCATATGTGTAATTACTGTTACTATTCAGGCCATCTGAGCAATCTGCTGTTGTTGTTTAGTCGTTTACTCGTGTCCAACTCTTTGTGACCCCATGGACCAGAGCACGCCAGGCACTCCTGTCTTCCACTGCCTCCTGCAGCTTGGTCAAACTCATGTTCACAGCTTTGAGAACACTGTCCAACCATCTTGTCCTCTGTCGTCCCCTTCTCTTTGTGCCCCCCATCTTTCCCAACATCAGCATATTTTCCAGGGAGTCTTCTCTTCCCATGAGGTGGCCAAAGTATTGGAGTCTCAGCTTCAGGATTTGTCCTTCCAGGGAGCACTCAGGGTTGATTTCCTTAAGAATGGAGAGGTTTGATCTTCTTGCAGTCCATGGGACTCTCAAGAGTCTCCTTCAGCAGCATAATTCAAAAGCATCAATTCTTTGGCAATCAGCCTTCTTTATGGTCCAGCTCTCACTTCCATACATCACTACTGGGAAAACCATAGCTTTAACTATACAGAGCAATCTGTCTGCTGCAAAAATGGAAGAGATTTCACAAATTGTACACTCACTGGAATTTACTGCATTCTGTTTGTTGGAAAAGCAGATAGAAGCCTTGTGTGTTCCTGTACTTCACTGCCTTATATACTGTGGTGAAGCACCCCTTTAGCTTTCAAAGCCATTCAGATCCTTTGGACAGGTATGTTTTTCAGCTGGCTTCCATTGCATGAATATTTGCACTATAGGTGGGTGATTTTTGTTGGAGCAGGGGCATGGGCTGTCACTGCAGCTCATGTGCATGCAGTTGTAGAAAAGAATTATCTTGTGATCCTGTTGGTCAATAGAAGAAACAGTGTGTTGGCTATTTAGATAGTGAAAGAAGGGCTGGAAATGATGTTGCACAAGTATTTATTTTTTAAAAAACACAGTATCAAATATCTGGAGGGGTAGAAAGGAGCACGTATTTGTGACTTTGCACGTGCATGAAGCATTCATTATTCTGCAACTAAACAGAGACACCTGCTGGAGCAACTACAGAACTTCAGTGATGTCTGTCCAAGGAAGAGAAATATAAGGACTAATTATTAGTTTAAATGAAAACAGAAAACTTCGTAGCAGCTTAGCAATTGGATAGTTTTTTGAATAAGGCACATTCTCTCCCAGCTACCCTCTCTTTTGTCTTCCTTTTCGTTCTCGAGCAGATCTTTGCCGCAGGGACAACCAGATTCTTATCCCCGCACGCACCCTTTCTCCCCAGCCCCCGACAGCCACTCTTTGCAGAATAAAGGTGTCTGGGCAGCCATGTTGCTGTTCTTCTGCTAACAACCTCGCAAGTTCAAGCGCATACAGCCAGCCCGCTTTCGTTGGGTAACTTTCAGGGAACTTCTTCCAACTTCTTGTCATATTGTACCAGATGGTTGTGCAGTGGTGATTGGGAGCCATGAGGCGGCGCTGTTTCTGTGCAGAAAGGCGCTTAAAACATCAGTAGCTAGTTGTTAAGCCGCTTGTATTTTGATTCATTAGTGCATTTAGATATATAGATCATAGATGTCAACGTTTCTCCCTTATTCCAAATAGGATTCCTCGCAAGAAAAGGGAAAAGTTGACAGCTATGATATAGATACTGTATAGAGCTGTGAGCGGGGTGGTTTATAGTTTGCAGGGGACTGTCACTCAGGCGATGCTTTGCCTGCATATGTAAAACATAAGCGCCAGTTTTGCAAACACATTTGTGCCTCTCTCGAGCTTGTCTCTGCTGCGTCAAGCGCGAGATAACGCTGAATGCGCCCTTGCAAAAAGCTCGCCACAACCTTCTTGCAGGTAATTTGGCGGGAATTCTCCTATTTTTAAAGAAGAATAAAAGGCCGGGACGCATTTGACGTAATGACGTGCAGAAAGAAAAATCTGCTTCCCGGTGTATTGTGGGAACTGTAGTCTGGGAGTTTGAGATGATCTGAGAACAGGGAAGACCTGACCTGCTTCAGAATTGCAGTTGCAAGGGAAAGCAGCAGATCTGTTTTATTGATTTGGTTCGTGCAGTATCTAATAAGGACTGGAATTGTTCTTGTTGCTTCTGCCGCCCACGCTCGCAGAAAAGGATAGAGAAGTCTAGCCTGCCTGACTAAATGGCAGAATAAGTGGGGTGGGTTTTATCTGTGATCAGATTTGCCACAAGTCTGATTGATTCTGGTCTTGTGTCTGCTTTTTTCTATGTTTTCATACTGTGTGCAGACTAAATTGGAGCTGGCATGGCTTGTTACTTTTGGACTAAACACTCAAAGACAGGCTATCAGCTCTGTGTCTAAGAGGTCATTATAGTTTGGAGAATATGACTAGTCCCAAAGTCTTTTGCTTTTTATTAAAATGAAATGAAAACAAGAGTTTGTTTTTGTTTTTGAAAATAGCTCAATACAGAAGACGAGGCAATGCAGGTATGTTTTTTTAATACCATATTGTTATAAAAAAATCACACCCTCTTATTTTATATCTGAGCCTCTTCTCAAGGGCCTCTTCCAAAAGCTTGACATTGTGACACTTCCCTTTTTTAGTTTTGTATAGGGAATACACAGGAGTGGAGTTGATGTGGGACTAGGCTCTCACACCAATTTCCCCAGCAATATTTAGCAGCTATGGAGCCTGGAGTGGGCGCTACTCCACAAGGGGCAGCTACTTGTGAAAGCCCACTGCTGTAGTCCATTGCTGCCTTTTCTCAGCCCTTTGCACTGCTCTTCAGCAAAATAGAAATAGAAATGGAGAATTAGGCTAGAGCAGGGGACACCAAACTTTTTCAGTCCACTGTCCCTCAGACCTTGTGGGGGGCCGGGCTATATTTTAAAAAATGTAAATACTCTGCAAGCCGGTCCCACAGCTGCCTCTGGACCTGGAAGAGGAACGCACTCTGCACATGCTCAGGAGCGTGTCTCGGAGCCATCCGCTCACCGGCGTTGTTGATGAGCAGCAGCCGCTCTATCAGCCCGTCCCTGCAGAGCTCCCAAGCGGCGTGACCACGCGCTGTGGCCCATCATCCGAGGCCAAGTCAGCGGGCAGGCTGCACATGCGGAGCGCCGGAAAGGCGACGCGCAGCTTGCCCTCTAGCTCACCAGCACACCAGCAGCAGTGAGCCAGGCGCGGGGCCAGCAGGCACACCAAGCTCCAGCTGAAGCCCTGTGATGTGCCCATCACGATGCTCATGGTGCGGCCCAGACCTGCCGCCTGCCCACCAGCCTCTGCGTCCATGGCCACACCAGCTTTACCTCAGTGCGCGGGCGGCGAGGCTTCGGATTGGCTGCAGAAGCTGCCTGCAGCCAATGCGAACCATGGAGCGTTGTGGAAGTCAGTCCCCAAGTGGTGAGGCGTCCGCGGTTTCTTTTCAAGGAAATGCCGCACAAGTTTAGCTCAGCAGGGACTGACTGAGAGGGCAGCAGGGTCCACGGGCCGGATTTACGAGCTTGCTGGGCCTCATCCAGCCCCCAGACCATAGTTTTCCGACCCCTGGGCTAGAGCGACATCTATCATGCCATTGTGCATGGTTATTGGAATATGCTGCATAGTGTAAATACAGGATAATTCATTCATTCCCAAACTATAGTTTAAACACTGAGTTCAGATGTCACAAAGAATTGTGGTTAGTTTTAAATCAAAATCAGTTACTACTCAAAGATGTAGGGGACAGAAGAATGTCTATATGTGTAGGCCCGAAGCTTGCTGCAGCTTATTCTCATTCTGGGAAATCACTGCTTCCCATTGATTACATCTGCACCAGGTAAATGATTTATTTCTCATATAGCAGTCTCAGTCCAGTAAACTATGTGTAATTGGACTGAGATTTAGCACTGTATCCATGTGCTCTTTCTTTCACAACTGTAACATAAAAATTACGAGGTTCGTTAAGTTTCCTGGTTTCATGACCTGATTTGTAGTCGGAGATTAAACCACAGTTTTCTGATTCATGCATATTGGAAAATAGGTTTTGCATTATGGCATACAAAAAGGGGATCTTCATCCAGCAAACCATAGTACATTGGACTAAAATAATATATGTGAACCAGACTCAGCATGCAGTTAGTGCTATATTGTAACCTTTGTCCTCTGCACTATAGTAAAGCCCAAACCTATGGCAGCTTTCATTTTCTATATTATATTTCTGTGAAAGTTTTTTTTTTTAGCAAATTATTTTCTTTTCTGCAGCCACTAAGAAGATCGATGAGAATAGCTGCTGTGAGTAGCTCTCCCTTTTTCTTTTATTCCGCTGCATATTTCCACAATGTTAATGCTGATATGACCAGAGAGCATCTAACCTACTAAGAAATGGCATCTACAAAGCAAAGAGCCATTCCTCTTAGGGTGTCTCATGAGAGCAAATGCAAAGTATGGTTAAGAATATAAGCTGTGAACTTGCAGTTCTTTTGCTTCAAAACTCACCTCAGCCAACTCAACAGGTGTCCCTCAGTCATAAACATGCTTCATAAAGAATACAGGGCTGATATCACTCCTTTCACAATGTTCACTTCAACTGATGCTGTGCTGTGTGCTTACTGACACCCTCTAGTGGCGCCAGGGAGACAAAACCACAGCAGGAAAATGTACAGTAGGATCACAGATTGCATGCATTTAATTTGCACAACCACAGCTTTGCACGCTTGGCCACGAGCCAGCTGATATCACAAATTAAACACACACAAGGTGGAGAGCTTAAAAGCTCATAGACTTGCTTTCTGGGCTCTGGGAAGGTCTTGAGCTGTCTCTGGAGCCCTTTGCGAGTCTGGATTCCAAGCTTTATATTACACATGCAAAATTGAATGTTGCTTGTTTTAAATAATTTATTCTGCTTCTGCTAGTTAAAGGAGGGGCAAAAAATGGTTTGTGGCCACTGATAAGAAAAAAATTCTTAAACTCATCACTGGCTTCTGAGATTTTACTAGACACCACCCACGTGGAATCATGCCTGTTCTTCCCTTGCAGAAAGCGGCTGCCAGATCAAAACAAGAGGCTTAACCGCAACTGGCAACAGCACCTAAGGTAAATGCTATAAAAAGTTTTGTGTGTTTTATTTTTATTTTTCTCATTTTTTAAAATTAATTTTCACAAAATTAAAAAACACACTAACAAATAAACAGACAAACGTATCCTTATTAAAACTGATCTTCTTAACATTGTTAAGTGACTTCCTCCTATCCTCCTAGTTGAATTTCAATGGATATCATTTTAACGGTTTTCCAAATCAAAGTTCTTAAAATCTTAACTTAATCACTTAACCTCAGTCTTTCTTCCCAGTTCAGCCTTAAACCCTTTCGTCTAGCGGGTTTTTCGTCTTGCGAGGTATTCGTCTTGCGGGGCACCACTGTACTGTACGATAGACCTTTGCACAAGAAAACTTATAAATAATCCTACCCACAGTATGAAGTGGTACAGTCTATTTTCCACATCAGAATTCTACCACTTACTTTTGCTGCATCTTCATTTCAGTTACTGTGACTTGAACCAACAGAAAAACAAATAAGATCATTGTTTTTGTGATTGTCATAATTTAATGCCACCTGGAAAGAATCGTTGTGATGGGCAGCTATTGACTTTTCTTCCGATATAATCCTTTGTTTTGTAGATCATGCAAGATTTTGAATTTTTAACCTTGTTATGTGCTAAATGGTTTTTTTATGCGGGGAAGTCTGAAATAATGGTGATAATAGTATCGTAAAACAAATGTGTCAGACATTCCTGAGGTTTGTGGGTTGCTTTAGTAAAAGAGCTGAGATATTTTCATGAAAAATTCTAGGAAGCTTGAAATCTTGTAACCCAAATGAATATCTATTTTGGCACATTTCAGAGAATAATAATAATAATAATAATTTTTAATGCAATACAAAAAACACCTTTTTCAAAAAAATTAAAATAAAAAGAACCTGATTAACTGAATATACTCATTGTTTGAAATTTTGCTAAATTTACCTTAATAAAAAAGAAAAGATCCATTGAAAAATTCATTGTGGCTTGTTAATGTTGGAGCAACATATTTCTGCAGATACTGTGCTTATCTGCTCTTCTGTCAATTGGGAAGGTGCATAGTATGCCCAGTGCAGCTGAGCACCTGGGGTTTTTTGGGAACATGACAAGGTTGGGCCTGAGACCATGTTACCTCATCCATCATCTTCTATACGAAGGGAAAGAGGCCTGGGATCATATCACCCTGTTATGCTTCTGTTCTTTCACAGCTGCCCCACTTGAGGCACTGCCCACTGCTCACATGACATGTGTCAACTTGCACCATCTTGGTCCTGGTTCTGAATTCATGAAGTGTATTGTACGAATTCAGCTAAACATGGCATAACTAAATAACACTTTCCATTAAAATTGGGCACTGGGAGGGAGGGGAACATAGTTATGCTTTGGGGGATGGGAAAATGGGAATTGTAATTCTGTTAGTGGTCAACTACATTTTGAGGGAAAGAATGCTTCAAAGGTAAGCGCAACTGTACAAAATAAATCCTATCGCCAAAATAAATTGTAATAAATAAGTGCAACTATAGTGATATTGGAAGGGGCATGTAGTTGAGGCAGCAATAGACTCTGGTATCAAGAAAACAAATGATGAAGGTGTGGCTATAGTGGAGACTTGGGGCAGGTTGTGTTGACACTAAATAAATTACAGGAAATTTTAAAGGTCCACACCGCTCTGACCACCTATCAGCTCCTCAGTCGCCGCCAGTGGCCGCCAATCACACTCTCGCTTGCTGCGACAAGGACAGTTGTCTATTGGCTGCCGCAGTAGCAAGCAAGAGGGCTAATGGCGGTGATCAGGCAGCTGAGAAGCGAGTGGTTTTGTGCTGTATTCTGGCAGGTGAGCGATTTTCGGGATCCCCCCCCCAAACAATCAAGCAGCCAATGCCAAAAATCGCTCACCAGCTGGAACAAAGCGTGAGCCCAAGTTTTTAAGCAGTGATTGGCCACTTGATTGTTGGGGGAGGGGGAGAGATGTCGAAAATTGCTCACCCGTCGGAACGAAGTGCGAGCCCGAGATTGTAAGTGGCAATTGTAAGCGACGTGAGTGGTTGTGTGCTGCATTCTGGCAGGTGAGTGATTTTCGGCATCCCCCTGCCCCTCAACAATCAAGCGGCCAGTCACCACTTACAATCTCGGGCTCGCGCCAAAAAACCATTCGTGTGTCTCCCCTTAGCACTATCCGTGTATAAGACGAGCCTAAATTTTGAACCTCATTTTTGGGTCAGAAAAGCTCATCTTATACATGGAAAAATACTGTAACCCTGATTTTAAAATGAAGTCCAGCGAAAAGGTCCTGTGTGAGGGTCTGGAGGCGGTTGGAGGATGCATGGCAGCTAACAGATTGAGGTTGAATCCTAACAAGACAGAAGTACCGTTTTGGGGGGACAGGAGGTGGGCGGATGTGGATGACTCTCTGGTCCTGAATGGGGTAACTGTGCCCCTAAAGGACCAGGTACGCAGTCTGGGAGTCATTCTGGACTCACAGCTGTCCATGAAGGCGAAGGTCAATTCTGTGTCCAGGGTAGCTGTTTATCAGCTCCATCTGGTACGCAGGCTGAGACCCTACCTGCCCGCAGACTGTCTCACCAGAGTGGTGCATGTTCTAGTTATCTCCCACTTGGACTACTGCAATGCACTCTATGTGGGGCTACCTTTGAAGGTGACCCGGAAACTACAACTAATCCAGAATGCGGCAGCTAGACTGGTGACTGGGAGCGGCTGCTGAGACCATATAACACCGGTCTTGAAAGACCTACACTGGCTCCCAGTACGTTTCCGAGCACAATTCAAAGTGTTGGTGCTGACCTTTAAAGCCCTAAACGGCCTTGGTCCAGTATACCTGAAGGAGCGTCTCCACCTCCATCATTCTGGCGGTTCCCTCGCTATGAGAAGCCAAGTTACAGGGAACCAGGCAGAGGGCCTTCTCGGTAGTGGCACCTGCCCTGTGGAATGCCCTCCCACCAGATGTCAAAGAGAAAAATAACTACCAAACTTTTAGAAGACATCTGAAGGCAGCCCTGTTTAGGGAAGCTTTTAATGTTTAATAGGTTATTGTATTTTAGTGTTCTGTTGGAAGCCGCCCAGAGTGTCTGGGGAAACCCAGCCAGATGGGCAGGGTATAAATAATAAATTATTATTATTATTATTATTATTATTATTATTATTATTATTATTATTATTATGGAGCAGGGCAGCCTACTAATGTAACATTTTCAACAATCATCACCATCATTTAGCTGATCCTGTGTGAGAACCTTCTTCTTAAGAAACATGTTGCCTTTCAACTAGACCTAAGGGGATGCTACATTAAGAGTGCTGCCCCACCCCATAACAAAACAGATGTTTCACCTTTGCACGATTTTTAATTCTATGTCACTTTAGCAAAATAACATTTTTTAATCAAATTGAAGAACTTATATGTATGTGTTGGGCTATGTTATTCTCCTTCATATTACGTTTCTGGAATGAAGCTGTAACAGCTGATCTTTGCATTTACAGTTTCCAAATGTATGCATATTCACATAAACAAGCCTGCAGATTAATGCAGGATGAGTGACTTTTGGTATCAACAGCATGCAAAAAGCACACACAACCTCAAATCTGCTTTACTTTGAGAAGGCAAGATCAGGCTTGTTCAGATCATTCTAACCATCTGTTTCTGAGCAGACAGCTGCTGCCCCTGTGAAGATAATCTACGAAGACTCCTATCATTTATTCATCCCAGCGCCCTCAGAAACATCAGCACATCTGATGACCATATGACTAGCAATAACATTTTACATGGAGCTAAGTATAAGGCAAGCTGAATAGATGCAAAAGGTTACCAGGGAAGACAATAGTTGCTATGCTAAGATTTGAAAAACAAAGAGCAGTAGTGTTCAGAAGCCAAAACTTTATTAATTGTACCAGGCATTTGTATGGTTTTTGGTGCATGTGATGGTGAAATTGAAAAGGAATCATTTTTCTAGAGCCAGTATCACATCTAGTGCATTTTCAGCAAGCCATTGCTTGAAATGCAATGTTGTCCTTCACAATTTGTATAGTGCTTTTTGTACAACAAGGCCAGGGCTATCAAGTTTACCCAATCATCAAAACCAAACTGAACTTTACTGTTTTTATGTGAATTCCTCTAGCTTTATCCTACAGTGGAGGGGAAATGTTAAATCAGAAGCTATCCTTATGTACCAAAGATTCCCAAGAACTGCAGAATCATGTGTTCTTACATATTAAAAAACAACAACCCAATAATAGCTTGCACATCTAGAAGAAGCCCAGTAAACTAGCATGTCAGGAACCCTTCCTAACATACTACTTTCCTGTGTGCAGAGGAAGGATCACAGTGGCATAAGCCAGATAGTAATGTGATTGTGGAACTCAGTACGTTCCAAATAAAGGAAATGCAGAGCCATGACAATAGCCTTAAGATGGGCAAACAGAACTATTAGGATAATTAATGCCAGGGATAGCAGTAGGACCTTCTATGGCTTAACATACAGTGGTACCTTGGGTTACAAACGCTTCAGGTTACATACGCTTCAGGTTACAGAATCCGCTAACCCAGAAATAGTACTTCGGGTTAAGAACTTTGCTTCAGGATGAGAACAGAAATTGCGCGGTGGCGGCGCATTAGCTAAAGTGGTGCTTCAGGTGAAGAACAGTTTCAGGTTAAGAATGGACCTCCGGAACGAATTAAGTACGTAACCAGAGGTACCACTGTAATTGTTTCTTGGCTTTTTGAAGTGATTTTGAGTTATCATATGGCACTGCATTTAATAATGGTTTCATTTACTGCTGTTATATTAGTGTTACTTAATACTATTGGTCATTTTTCTGTTTAATTAACTCCTTGTAAGCCCTTGAGCCTAGTTCAGAAGCTCCAGCTGGTGCAGAATGTGGTGACCAGACTGCTGGCATTGAAACAATTGCTGAAACAACTGCATGGGTTGCCCAGTTACTACCCAGCCAGGTTCAAGGTTCTTGTATTAATTTACAAAGCCCTGAACAACATAGGCTCAGTAATTGCCTCAAACCTTATATCCCAGCTTGATCACTGAGAGTGTCGTTGGTCATCCCCCAGGTTGTCGAGGCTTAACTGGTAACATGAAACCGAGTCATTAGTGCCATTTGCCCAGTCCCCTGCAACACTACCTTCCATGCCAATTTTTAAACACCTGCTGAAATCTTTAATATTCTGCCAGGCCTATGCAGCCAATTAACAATATATTGTTACACAATGGTTAATTGATGCCTGTTTTTTTAAAAAACTTTTTATGGTTTTCATTGTACGATTTGATGTGTATGGGTTGTTAGGGATGGGGTGGTACCTCTGCTGGGGGATGCATCGTGCTCCTACTGAAATAGTTTGTCTACCTTTGGCTCCCAGTTTGCACTTAGCTCTCACTTGTGGCTCCTAGAAGCTGTCAGTTTGCAATAGCGACTATACCCCAGGAACAGCTTCAACTGGCCGGCTAAACCAGGTGAGGGTAGCTAGTGGGTCTTAAATCCTTGGTGAGTTAGGGAGATGGTTTGAGATCCACTGGCTAGGTGAGGGTAGCCAGTGGGAACCACCTAACTGTGAACCACTGTTGTGTTGCCTCAGTAATGGAGTAGAGAAGAGCCAACAAACTGAATCCAAATCCAGATAAAATTGAGGTTCCCTAGGCCAGATGGATGGGAGGTTGCCTGTTCTTGATGGGTTCACACTTCCTCTGAAGATGCAGATATGTAGCCTGGGGGTACTTTTGCTGTGGCCTTGGTGGCACAGAGTGCCTTCCGTCAGCTTTGACAGCTGGCCCAGCTGTGCCAAAGGGATAGCCTAGCTTCTGTTGATTATGCTCTGGTAACCTCTAGGTTAGATTACTACAATGTGTCTGAAGACAGCTGGGAAACTTCTGCTGGTGCAGATTTCAGTGGCCATGTTGCTCACTAGGGCAAAACAGTTTGAGTATATAATGCAAATCCTGGCTCAACTGGCTGCACTGGCTGCCAATTACATTCTGGGCCCAATACAAAGTGACCTATAAGGCCTTAAACAGCTGAGGACTGCAATACCTCAAGAACCTATCTTGGACCCTGTGGCCATCATCTGAGGCCCTTCTTCGTGTTCTGGGTGGCAACATGAGACGGGCCTTTTCTGTGGTGGCTGTTTGTGGAATGATCTGCCCAGGGAGGTTCACTTGGTACCTTCATTGCATATCTTTAGGCACCTGGCAAAAACATGCCTCTTCTCCCAGACCTTTGGCTAATTAAACAATCTATGGTCTTTTAAACTGTGTGTGTGTGAGAGAGGGGGTGGGGGTATTATTGTTATTGTTTGTTACTACTTTATATATTTTTGTGTTTTTATGTTGTAAACAGACCATTGATCCTTGGATAAAGGGATGGTATAGAAAGGAAGCAAGCAAGCAAGCAAATAAATAAATAAATCCTAATTATTGGCTAAATGAAATTAAACATTTCAAGTAAATAGAGCAGAACAAGGAACTACATTAGGCTAGATATGCACTGAAAGGACAGGTTAAAAGCACTGTATTTGCATAAACAGGTTTGGGGTGTGACGGTATACGTACTACTGCACATCCAATTCTCCTGCTTGAATGAATAATGGGAAAAGGCCTAGCAGGTTGCACAGTTCTCTCATAACAACATTTCAGTTCCTTGTTTCAACCTGTTTTATTTTAACCTTAAGATCAGCATTGCACCGTATCAAGCTTGAATCCATTTTGTCCCAGCTCTTTGCACCAGAAACCTTAAGAGTTTCATCAGAGTCTTGGCTGAGCTTAGGATCTAGGGTTTTCATTCATTATTATAGCATTGGCTGACAAAGAGCCCATTACATCACCCATTTGGAACAGAAAGCCTTTGCAGCTGCTTGTACGGTGAGATGGGGATTTGGGTTAGTATCATAATTATTTTTAAATAAAACATTTTTTTGTTTCATTCTTCCAGGGCAATTTTCTCTGTAAATTGTTAAGAACTGTATGCTAAAGAGCTTCTGGAGGAGGGCAAAGGGAAGGAACAGAATAAAGCAGTTTTATCCTTTCTCTCTTGATTTCCCGTAAAAAAGACCTAAGGGGAAGAAATAGCCCCATTACCCTGCATATCTTCTAGTTACTGTAGTGAAGCATGAAAAGCAAAGCACACTGTCATAGTAATGGCAGATGGTATTAAAAAAAGAATGACATGGGTCAGGCTCAGAAATGTTTGTTCCATTTCTGACCTCAGAATGAGCGTGGTCCTAATTAGTCCAAAAGAAGTGTGCAATTAATCTGATGGTAAGAGAAATGAGTGCTTTTCCTCTACTAGCTGATTTAGAGTACCAGCAATTTATTTATTTGCAGACAAATGGGATGGAGTGCTTGTGGCTTGCATCCTGTTCCCTCTGGTTGAGTATCTGGGGCTATATATAATACGAATATTTCACATATTTCACATTTAGTGAAGAAGAGCTTTCTGCCTTCAACCCCCAGCATGTCTGATAGTGCCAGTACCTTGAAATAACACTTCCATTTTGAGTAGTCTAATCAAAACTCTAGCATTCACAGGGGAAATGACCGACAGCTGTACATTTTACCAGCTTGGGTTTTATTTTGTGCAGAACAGAAAATAGAGGCACAGGGCTGAATTAAATGAGAAGCATGTGGAAAGGAAATGGGTTTCAGGGGGCGCCTGAATTCTAAAGTTAGGGGTTTTTTATTTTTTAAAAAACACCATTGCATCTCATTTGGCACTGTTATAATATTTAACTTCATTAGACTTCTGCTTACTGTTAACTTTCAGCCTTTGTGCCAAGTTCATTCCATCCACTCTCAAGTTCTGTGAGGAGGTTTACACTTCAAATCCTTCCCTCTGCCACTTTTAATGGGAACAAGAATCATTTAAAAGAATGGATTTGGAAGGAATGAAAGCTGAAGGTGACTGTCAGAGAAATAGCACAAGACGCATTCTCAGAAGCCAAATAGGACTGTGTCACACAAGGGATAATGTGTATGTGTTCTAGGCTGCCACAAACAGTGCCAATTAAATATCATTTAGCTTGAAACCCATCCCCACCCCCCAAAAGGGAAATAGGGGTGGAGTGGGGAGAGTGAAAAAGCAGCCAACCAGTGGACTGCCCCATCTATCCTAGTCAAGTATATGGAGAGGAGGAAAGCTCCATAGGATACCAGTAGCTTTCCGCATCCCTGAGGGAGGCTCCCATTCACATCTATTTAAAGCTTTCAGAGGGGGCTGTGTTGGCTCCTGGTAATTTAAGGTACAGTATCAGGACTTGCCAATCAGAAGGTCGGCGGTTTGAATCCCCGCAACGGGGTGAGCTCCCGTTGCTCAGTCCCTGCTCCTGCCAACCTAGCAGTTCGAAAGCACATCAAAGTGCAAGTAGATAAATAGGTACCGCTCCGGCAGGAAGGTAAACGGTGTTTCCATGCGCTGCTCTGGTTCACCAGAAGCAGCTTAGTCATGCTGGCCACATGACCCGGAAGCTGTCTGCAGATGAAATGCCGGCTCCCTTGGCCTATAGAGCGAGATGAGCGGCCACAACCCCAGAGTCGGTCATGACTGGACCTAATTGTCAGGGGTCCCTTTACCTTTATCTTTTTATCAGGACGATATGCATCCCCAAAACACCCCATCTTTTTTACATCTGCCAAACTTAAAAGCAACAGTTTGGCTAATCAAGCTGAACTGCGGGGGGGGGGGGAGGCCCTGATGTGGAGGTGGCACGGTTTCAGCTGTACTACACTGGATCCTTGTCAGCTGTGAGAGCCCGCTTCAGTCAGCAGTCTGCCTGTGGCATATTGCTTTTTGATCTGTTCATCTTGGGCCAAAAGCTGAATCCTCAGTGCCATCACTACAGCTGACATGAATACATGAGTGGCGTCCACTGCTAGCCCTACTCACATAGTGTGCCCACTGAAGTTAACCGACTTGGCTGACTTAGATTCATCACCAAAAAGAATGACAGAAGACTTTTTCACGTAAAATTTGCATCTGCTAACGCATATGTATAGATTCCAATTAAGAAATATTTACTTATAATTTAAATAAACATGCGTGCTGTGGTCTATACCACTGAACCTCTTGGGCTTGCCAATCAGGTTGGCGGTTCAAATACCTGTGACGGAGTGAGCTCCCGTTGCTCTGTCCCAGCTCCTGCCAACCTAGCATTTTGAAAGCATGCCAGTGCAAGTAGATAAATAAGTATCACTGAGACGGGAAGGTAAACAACATTTCCATGCACTCTGGTTTCCATCACAGTGTTCCGTTGTGCCAGACGTGGTTTAGTCATGGTGGCCACATGACCCGGAAAGCTGTCTGTGGACAAACGGCGGATCCCTCAGCCTGAAAGCCAGATGAGCGCCACAACCACATAGTCGCCTTTGACTGGACTTAACCGTCCAGGGGTCCTTTATCTTTTTTTACCTTTTACATCTCACCATAGTGGGGAAGACTGGGCCCAGTGACCTTGAGCACCTGACCAGTCCCCTTCTCCAGCTTGATGGGCCACTTTATCTTTTTTTATCTTCAAGGCCCCTCCTGCTCTTATAGTTCTTTATCTTTAAACTGGATTTAGATTGGATAGCCTTTCAAACAGAGGTCTGTCCTTCACAAAGTAGAATGACTATATAGTAAACATGTACTAATCAAAACTAGGAAAAATGACACTTACCACTGCAGTATTGATGTGCTTCAATTTTCTATTTAAGTAAGACAAAACTTAGGATAAAATGAGAGCTCTTCACAAGTAATGAGAATATGAATTTAGAAGAATGCAGCAGATGGAAGAGTGGTGTGTGGGCAAGTTTCTGGTTTCCGCAGCACAGTCTACATCTGCTACTGATGATGTTAATAGGCTGATTTATTTCAGTTGCTAAAGGAAAGAACCCTAGTAAATTAAGTCAGATGAGTAGGTTCTTTCTTTTCCAGCTAAAAAGGCAGAATCCAGCAGCTGACCAGTGATGAAGAGGTGAATGTAAAAGGGACCTGGAAGGAGGAATGAAAAGGAGCAAGGCATAATGAGTTGAGTATGAAAGGAGAATGGGAGAAGGAATTACAAGAGATGGGTAAAAATATTTATGAGAGGCATGTGGAGGTTGGAATGGAAAAATAGAAAAGAAAAAGCTTTCTGCACTTATGCCTCCGGATCAGCAAATTCTATCTACAATGCAGAGACTGAATCATGATAGTTTCAGAGCAAACAATTATGTCGAGTTGTTCATATAAATCAACCCTGAGAGCGGTGTGCTCTGGTAATTGGTTTCATTATTGAACTTCTCTTTCCATTAAGAGACTGCTTCTGAAGTTCCACTGAAATCTACCTAACTCAAGCCCATTAGAACTAATCCTGTGGAAGCAAAGGACAAGCCATTTCCCTCTTATAATCAAGGGCCCTTCAATTATTTGATGAATGCCATCGTGACCCCACTCAGTTTTCCATTCTCCAAGCTACATGTTTGTTGTTGCTTCAACCTTTTCCTGCAGTTCATGAACTGACAGCTCAACAGATGCAGCTGCAGCATCCTAACAACATTTTCTGTGGCAAAGTTAGAGAATATGCTGTCATGAACTCAAAACAAAGCACTGCGTGTGTGTGCGCACATGTGCACGCACTCATGCTTTCTTTAAAAATTTCTTCAGGTTTTTAAAAATTAAAGTAAAAAATAAAGCAACAATTAAGCAACCTAATACAACTGGAGAAAACAATTCCAGTTGCTTAATGTCTATTGCAGTAATGCCCTCCACCGACAGCAGAACAAATTGGTGATGGTAAAGACTAGAGGAATTCTGTGGCAGGGGTGGCTTGGGCACACATACGGGTTCTCACAATGAATGCCTTGAAGGGCTATAGGTTGCCCATCTTTATCACACCTTAGAATGGGTGGCAAAAATAAAGAAAGAAAAGCACAGTTTCATCAGTACAGATGTCCACACAAAATCAGTGGCAGAAAACTTACCTGGCTGCCTAATTTGGACATGGATCTGTCTCTGAACTGGTGAGGCTTTATTTTATTTATTAAATTTGTATACTGACCTTCATCTGTAGATCCCAGGGCGGTTCACAGCATAAAATGACTAGATAAAAAACTAAAATACATAATAAAAACAAGAGCAAAACAAATTAATAACCTCCCCCCCCCCACTATCCCACAAAGACATTTTATAGGATATAGGATGTTAGTTAGCCAAAGGCTTGGTTGAAGAGTTCCACCACCAAAAGCAGCAAGCCACCTATTCTCTCTTAAGGGGAGAGAATAAAACACATACTTCAAGCTTCCCTTTCATCACTCCTAAACTGTACATAAATCAGACACTGAAGCAAATTCAGGCCTTTACACCAGGAAGACAAACTGTGTAAACAAGATCACAGAGTACAGCGATTGTAATATCCTTCCCTGTTTATTAGCAGCTGCAGTCATGCTTTGAGTCTCAATATAGAAATGCATTCCTGTCCCAGAAAACCATCTGAAATATAGTCAATCACTAGGGAACAAAATTTTTGTTGTATTGACACCTGCAGTTGTTCTAACCTAATTTCGACGTGCTGATCTGAAGTTGGTTTTTTTCTGTAAGCTCTAGGTTTTTTTTGCAATTCATGTTTTTCACTTTTCACCATAATCTTTGTTTTTCACAATGCAAGAATTCAATATTTTATTAAACACATAGCCAAAGTAGTACAATATGAGTATAAATGTAAGTGGCTTATATAGCATTGAGCATGACATATATAGCATTGAAAATGACATGTATATCTACCGTATGTACAGTTGGAGGTATGCAAAAAAAATGCAATCCCTTGGGATACACAGTATACTGGGGAACATTTTTTCCCATTTTCTTTTGCATGAGATTTTTCAACTGTTCTTATATGTTCTTTCAATGCTGATTTCAAATCTGTAATTGATTTTCGTGTACATGCTATAGTTATCTTGCAATTTCCGACTTTTGCCGATATGTCATATTTACACTGGGGATAAGTGGACACTGACACGTTGATCTACCCTAACCACATGGTAATTATTGTTTTGCAAACTTAAATTTTCTTTATTTTTACAGTTTTGTAATCTAAATATTTGTATTTTTCAGATCGGACTATGGCTTCTTCAAGTAGATAAAAATGTGTAAACAAGCCTGATGCCTTTTGTTATGCTATTATTGCTTGGTCAATACAAAGGGTATTGGCAAGAAAAACCAACATGCTGTCGCCTATCCCAGTATTCCTTCAGCAATTAGACCTATCCCACACTCTGAGGAACTCCCAATTCCAGTTTTTAAGGGGTTTGTCTCTTCTGAAGATGAAGGAAGTGAACCTGGTGAGGAGCACAACTGGATCATCTGTGTGGATCTCAAAATGGTCAGCAGAAAGGCTTTACCAAGTACCTGAATAACAATTGTAGATACCACTGGGAAAGAAAAATAGAAGTCACTTGTATGATCCTTGGGTTCTCGCCAAACCTTGGGAACCCCAAAAGGCATACTCTTCCGTTTTCCTATTGTCCAGTTTCTAAGCATTTCCTCACAATTGTGATAAACAATATGCAGGACCCATTTCTTGTCTTGGTCGCCATGGGGAATTTCAAAATAGCTTTTATAAGCACGCCTCACAAACACTGTTATATTGCGTCTTTGACGAGGAAGTGTGTAGCAGCCACATACATAACAAAAGGGATCAGGCTTGTTTACATATTTTTATCTACTTGAAGAAGACATGGTCCATTCTGAAAAATACAGATATTTAGGTTACAAAACTATAAAAATAAAAAAAACCCCTAAGTTTGCAAAACAATAATTACCATGTGGTTAGGGTAGATCACCGTGTCAGTGTCCACTTATCCCCAATGTAAATATGACATATCGGCAAAAGTCGGAAATTGCAAGATAACTATGGCATGTACATGGAAATCAATTTCAGATTTGAAATCAGCATTGAAAAAACATATAAGAACAGCTGAAAAATCACATGCAACAGAAATGAAAAAAAAATGTTCCTCAGTGATAAGCTATCACATTAATATGAATGGTTGTATCACATCAACATAATGCATACTTCTTCCCATTACCTGACTGCCTCCATAAAGATGTAAAACACAACACTGAACTTAATTTTAAGCATTACCCCAAGAACAGGATGATATTAGCACAGAGAAGTTTCTTTTTAATAGTTAAGATGTTTTATTTTAATAGCTTTAAATAGAAAGCTTACTTAAATTAAACCTGACAAAGTACTCAAAAACAGTTGATTACTCTATGTTAAAAACACCTAAGAGTAGAGATGGAAAAGAATGTTGATTTTTAAGTGAACCAACTAGCACAGAGATTTCCAAACTGTGTATCGTGACACGTTAGTGTGTCTGTTGCAGTGTGTAGGTGTATTGTGTGAATGCTCCCCACACTCCTCCTGGGGCTGGAAAGGGGTTAGTTTAACCTCCATTTTGCTAGTAAAACTGAATTACCATGTTGCAAAATGATGCATGTCTAAAAAAAGTTGGGAAAGTACTGGACTAGCAGATAGTGCAAAGCCCAGGTAGCTTGAATAGCTGAGAGCCTACAATCCTTGAGGTGTCTTGTTTTCCCGTCGCCAAGATGTGGGACAAACATGACCTCTCTGAAGTTGAGAAGTTCGAAAAGAGTAAGCTGAAGAAAATCAACAGCTCAATTCCTAATCTAAATGGGGGAGGGGGAAAAATACCTCTTGCAAGAGACTACATGTGGGGTGCATGGATAATAATTTTATGTATGGAAAATACCGTAGTTTTCGCTCCATAACACACATTTTTTCCCTCCAAGAAAGTAAGGGGAAATGTCTGTGCGTGTTACGGAGCGAATGCTTCCCTCCTCCGTGGCTCGCTTTGAAACAGGGGAGGAGGGGGGGAGGAGCAAAGCAGGAGAGGAGAGGAGCCGCTTACACTCGTGTAAGCGGCTCCTGTCCGGTTGGCTCCTTTAAAGCAAGCAGGCTCTTTGTCCCTCCTCCCCACTCAGTTCGCTAAATAGCAGGAAAGATTTTCAGATCGCTAAGGGGGGGGAGGAGGGAGAGAAGCAGAGCCGGCTTGCTTTAAAGGAGCAAAGCGGGAGAGGAGAGGAGCCTCTTACACGAGTGTAAGCGGCTCCTGTCCAGTTGGCTCCTTTAAAGCAAGCAGGCTCTCTGTCCCTCTTCCCCACTCAGCTCACTAAACAGCAGCAGCTCGCTTCTCCCCTTAAACCCCTCTCCTGCATTATTAGCAGCATCCTCCACACACCCCACGCATGTTCCTTCTCCCCTTAAACCCCTCTCCTGCATTATTAGCAGCATCCTTCTCCACACACCCCACGTGTGCTCCTTGTCCCTTGAGTGCTTTTCCTTCCCTCCCCACTTAAAACATGGTTACAAAGCACAGATCCACATGGATCCTCAGGATTTTTGCACTGGGTCACCCCAAATTCACCATCAGATCACATAGCATGTCCATGGCTACAGTTTGCACCAGAAAAATCACGCACCCACTGTTGCCTGGGGCCGCAGTGGTGCAAAAACGTGGTTACAAACATGGATCCACATGGATCCTCAGGATTTTTGCATTGGACTACCCCAAACTCACCGTCAGATAACATGTCTGTGGCCATAGCAGGAACCACAAAAATCATACATCCACTGTTTCGTTTAGAATATTTTTTTTCTTGTTTTCCTCCTCTAAAAACTATGTGCGTGTTATGGTCGGGTGTGTGTTATAGAGCGAAAAATACGGTACATGTTGCATGAAAGAAGGTGGGTTTGAATAACAGTTAAGCCAGGGTTCAGGGCCAGATCACTAACCTGGAGAAGTAGTCTAATTTATTGACAGCTGCATGAATTATTATAGCTAGGAAGGGGCAAGCAGAATATAAAATGGAAGAATGGTTTAAAGAGATGCAGGATATAGCTATTAATGATAAATTAACATGTGTCATTAAGGTAAGAACGGGAATATGTAGGAGAAATGATTTTGAGGAGATATGGAGGGTGATTTGTAGAATTTGTTCTGTTAAAACGGAAAGTAGTCAAGAGGTGTTGAAATTATAGGAGGTTGGGTAGTTACAATCGAATGGTCTTGGGGGTGGGGTTCTAAAAAAAAAGTTTAAAAAATGAAGAA